AAAAAAAAAACAAAAAACAAATGCTAGACCTGCGTGCTTATAAACACGACAAGTATAATATGATAATAATACTAAAAAAAAAAAAAAAATAATAATATAAATACATCTAAAATAGAAGCAACAACAGTTGCCTCATCTCAGATATCATTATATATATATATATATATATAAGATTTAATATACGGAGAACCAGAAAAAAAAACAAAAAAAAACAACCAATACCAAAGATCCCGGAAAAGATACAAGTGAGGTAGTCTCTCTCTCTCTTTCTCTCTATTACTTCCTCACTTTGTCGATCTGTTTATTAATCTGTTCCCCCCCACTCTTTTACTTTGATTTTATTGCTTTACCTATATCTGTACATTCTTATATATATATATAGTGTTTGTTTGCTTGTTCTCTTCTAAACCGCTTTGGTCAAACGTTCTCTTTGCCTTCGCCTCTCTATTTTGTTTCTGGACGTCGTGTTGCCCCCACCCCGTTTTTGTGTGAACAAAATTAATATCTGTTGTTCTTCTTGTTGTTTATTTTGATTTTTTTTTTTCTTTTTTGAGGTTGAAAGAAAGAAAGAGAAGAAAGAAAAAAAAAAATGGGAAGTTTTTCCTTGATCTTTTCTTATCTTTTTATTTTGTTTTTGTTTTTTTGAAATTCGATCCTCTCCCTTCTACGGGGAACACTTTTTCTTTTTTTTTTTTGCTTTCAAATTATTTGGTGATTATTGGAGGTAATGACAGTCCACAATAGGAGATTGGTTATTCACATACATATCTAATTAGATATAATGGGAAAATCAATATCCCAGAAGAGCGCATATTTATACGCACATATACGTATATATTTTTTTTCCTCGGTCGTTCACTTTTTTTTTTATTTTATTAAATATATACATATATATATATATATTCTTCTCAATTCTTTGATATTTGGAAAACAAAACAATCTATCCACACAGGAGTGATTATTATTTTTTCTTTTTTTCCCCTTCCTACCTCATGTGCGGAAACATGGGCATGTAAGCATGCAGAATAGATGATTTTGAGTGTGTGCCTTTTCTTCTTTTTATTATTATTGTTATTATTCTGGATTTATTTCTATTCTCTCTTTCTCTCTCCCATCTCTCAATAAGTAAATAATAATATTAACAGTAACCATCATCATCATCATCATCTTAATCGCTATTCTGGTTCTGTGCAACTATCCCTCCTATTTTATCACCAATTGTTTTCTTTTTCTTTTTCTCTCTTTCTCTTTCTATTTTTTTTTTTCTCTTCGCATTTCTAATCCTTCTTTTGACCATTCGCCTTCACCGCAGCGTTATTACGGGCCGTCACTGCTTTCTTATTCTTATTTAGATACAGATTATAAAAGAGCACCGCAAAGAGAACAAAGTAACTAGCATACATCACAAGACCCATACGAATACTTGTGCGATCCGCATTACAGCCATATCCACTCAAGTAACTGTGATAGGCGGTGTAAACAACAATAAAGGTACCAGCCACCATTTGTAAAATCTGCAGGGATGTAATGAACGGGGCAATGGGGCGAATAACTTTACGGAATCCACAGGCACACACAAAGTAATAGAAATACATAATAGAATGTACACAGTAATTCATAGTGGCAAACCAAAGTCCACTAGGTAAAAGAGCATGGCCCGCCTGCCAACAGAAAATCGCCACTGTGAGATGATGATACCAATGCAGAAAGATCACCGGTTTCTTCTGCAAAACGAGAAATACAGTATCCATCATTTCTGGAATCTTGGAGAGAATAAAGTAAAAAATCCAGAAGGCATACTCTCCATTGTAGGTAACCTTATAATCAAAGGTACATGTACTCTGGTAAAACCCACGGTCTTTAAGGAGAAAGAGCATCAGACGTAAAGAAGGAATGGCACCAAGTATGGAAAAGATGCAGAGGGAAAGATTCCAGAGAATAAAAGGTATACGTAGATTTAATGGATTACGATTCTTCATCACATGCTCAGGAACTACAAACACAAGAAGAATGTATAATACACAGAAATACACAAGAACGTCAGCGGATTCATTTAAGAAGGAAAGTGCGGCATCACCTTCAAAATTGTGTGGGATCTCTCGAATCCTATCGTATACGGGGATTAAAATATCCATAATTTCCGTTCGATGTTTGTTTGTTTATTTTTTTTTTCTTATGATATTTTCCTTTTTTTTTCTTCGTTTTCTTTTCCTATTTCTGTGATTATAGTTTTTTTTTTTTTTCAGGATTTGCTCTCCTGTTTATCGTTTAAGCTATTTTATCTATCGTTCTAGTTCCATTCAAGAGAAAATTACACCAATATTAGATTGTGAAAGAAAAAAGGCAAAGAGAAATAAATAAATAAATAAATAAATAAGTGCTTTCCAAATACAGACATATATATACAACATTTGACCAGATTTTCACTATTCCTTGTTTTTTTTTTTCTCTTGTGCACAGGAGCAAGTATATGTATATGTATATATAAATATATATAAATATAAATATATATATATGTATATATAAATATAAATATATATAAATATGTATAAAATTGAGTTACACCCTCTGTCTTTACACGCTGGTAATTGTTTTTTTTTTTTCCTTTCGGACTTATTTCCTCAGTCTGTTTCGTTTCACCAGAGGAGGTACCTTAGAGAAAAAAAAAAAGATATCTCTGCTCTTTTTTCTTTCTTTCTTTCATATTTAGACGTTCCATTTCTCTTCTCCATTCCACTGATCACCACTATCACCATCATTACTTCTTCTTCTACTTCTACTATTACTGCAGTCGCTTTAGTCTTTTCTTGTTATCGTTTATTTATTTTTTATTTTTTTCTCCTTCTTCTTATAGGATTACTGGAGGACAAGGGCATCCCACATCCAAAAACCACAGAACCGCTTATTCGAGGCGTTCTCTTTTATTCTTCTTTATATTCCCTTCCTTCTCATCATCATTATCATCATCATCAAAATCACCACTAACACTATTATTATTATTATTATTATTATTATTATTATTATTATTCCAATGTTCGACTCCGCCATTGTTTTGATGACGATGGCGTTTACGTGAGCGTGGTGTTCCCTCAGCAGTGATGAGAGGACTACGCCCCCCATGGTCACTGCCTTCGCTGCTATCAGGAGTACCAATAGAGCGTGAGCATCGTCGTCGTCGATGATGACGATGATGATTTTGTTGTTGTTGTTGTGGCCGCATGGATTCCAACAATGGGGAATTACTGATGTTAGCAGTAGTATTATTATTACTATTATTATTCACTTTTCCGCCCAAAGAAGATGGCAATCCGGTAGGTGTTGTTTGTGGATGCATGGATGGAGTTCCACCATTGCGGATAGGTGGGGTGTGATGCTTTGGTATACTTCCCACTCTCTCACGTGGGGGAGTGTCTTTCTTTACCATTGGCGATGTATCCACAGTTGCATTCATGCCAACACTCTCTCCTCCTATACCCACAACCAATGTCTTTTCACGTTTTTGTTGTTGTTGTTTGGCTTTATAAGTAATAATAAACTGAAGAAGGCAGTGTAACCGTTTTCGACACTCTTCCGCACTAAATAGATTAAAGGTATAACAAGAACAACTGTTAGATGTGGATGAATGGAGTCCTGCCATTGAACGTCCAGTCTCATCTCCCGCCTCTGGACGAGATCGTGTTTGATTTCCACGACGTTGTTGTTGACGATCTCGCTGTTGTGCAACCGCACGGGTGCGGCTCATTGGCATTCCACGAGCACGACTCCCACGACTATCACTAACACCAACATTATTTGCGAGTCCAAGCAGGACATCTTGATAACTTGGTATGATTTCAATCTCTCGACTACGCTGTTGTTGTTGTTGTTGTTGTTGATGCTGTTGCTGTGGGGATGATGATGGTTGTGGTTGTGGTTGTGGTGTTGGTGTGGATCGAGTTACACTCTGTGGAAGTAGAAACTGCGGTTGTTGTTCCAAACCAATCGTAGCGGTAGAAGCCGGGAGTTGGACAGGACTTTCACAAACACCATTATTGTAAACCGCATGCGATGTTGGTGTGCTCCCTTTTAAACGTGGTGATGCAAGAGGAAGAGGCGTCGTTGCGGTGTAGGTCTCCATTTCTTCTTCGTAGAGTAAAACATCTATCCATGTGAGTGGACCTGTAATTGGTGTTAATGGTAACAACATGGGAGGCATATTCCCACCATTAGTATTACTATTTCCACTACTGGTATTAGTAGTAGTTCGTTTTCCACTCTCTCCATGTGAACCAGCATACAGTTGTGTGAGTTCCTGTTCAATACGTTCAAGCAGAGCCACAAGGACGGCATACATCGCAATGGCACGATTCTCCGATATCCCAAAAACAAGAGATGGTGTAGGAAGCGAAAGAAGATTCCGCTGCAATTCACTCCTTAACACACAAACATGTGCAGGTGTATGTACATGCGGTAAGGCCGTCAGCAATACTTCTGTTTCTCCCCATCCCAACAAGGTGACTGGTGCCTGACTCCGCCCACTCATGGCTCCCATGCCAGGTCCACTCCGCGTATGATGACTCACCGGCCCCATACTACAATGACTGGCAGTAGCGGCAGGGGCCCGCACAGAGGCAAGCGCTTCTAAACGAGATGCCAACATCGGCACTCGCATCCGCCGCCGTACACGACCGCAGCGATCGAGAAGTCGCACCGCCGCCTGCCACGCCGCGGCTCCAAGTCCCTGCCGTGCACAGTCCATCACACACTTCGCCGCTGCTGACTCTACATGCACGACTATAGGGCCACTGAACTCTACATCTAATCCACTCATTCCACTTCCAGTTTGGCTGATGACCTGTCGACCACGAGCTCCGGGTACGCAGAGGATCACATCACCTGTCATTCCATCAAAGGTGATGGTTTTACGGGCAGAACGAACCCCAGTGAACACCGCACACCTTTCATTCACATAGCTAAGGAAATAAACTCCTTTTAATTGTTGCCGCTCCGAGTCATCTGAGACGCGGATACTGTAGTTTAGTTGGTAACGACGTACAGAGTGATGTTTGCGTAGAATACGTTGCACCACTCGGGCTACAGGAATCTCCTTATCACGCGTTGTCACTGTTCGCATGTGCTGCAGTGCCGCAAGTAGTGGTAGACGATCTTCCGAGTGTACTGCAAAGTAGGTACTCGTCCAAAAAGAGGTAATGGGAGAGAGACGACGAGAAAGTGGCATAAGGGTGTAGTTCCCCTCTTGAGCAGCCTCACGTAAAGTCTCAAAGAAACGTGTAGGTCCACAATAAAGTCCACTACTCGCAGCCATATCTGCTAATTCTAGCGCTGATATAGAAAAGGCATTTGCAAAGATATACAATAATGCATTTGCACATGGTGATAACAAAACAACATGCATAATTCCGGCAAAGGGAGATGTCTCGGTAGTGAGAGGAGAAGTCCACCATGTAGTGTCTTCCACTGCTGCTGTTGCTGTAGTAGTAGTAGTAGTAGTAGTAGTAGTAGTAGTAGTTCCACTATCACCATTACTATTATTAGGATATGAACTACGCTGTGGATATAGACCTAATTGATCTAACCAGGCACCAATACGTCCTGCATGCTCTGGAGCACATGGTTGTGAGTCGAATGCACGTGCTAATTCCAATGCTACAATCATTGCTGTATGCTCTGGGGAGAGACCAGTTGAGAATCCTGGATAATGATGTGAAGAAGAAGTTTTTCTTTTTTTTCGTAATGACATCATATACGCCGTACGTCCCTCTACACGTTGTGGATGCCAAAGAGCACTAGGTACGGCAAATGCTGCTGCTACCGTCATAATATTTTGCAAATACTGTACTCCTACTTGACAAGATTCAAAGAAATCAGATAGTGTAACACCAATAAGAGCAGCCAATAATTCCACATCTGTCCATTGTAATTCTTCATTCTGCTCTTCACCTACACTAATGGCTGATAGAGTATTAGGTGCATCTAATGATTGAACACGACCTGCCAAACTAAATAATGGAAAAGGTGCAGAAAATCGATGCAATACTAAACTCAAATATAAAGCTCCACCTCTTAAGACTACAGCACCTCCACTTGGTACTCCTGGAAGGACAAATAAAAGTGCCAAATCATACGCCGCACGTAATACAGCAGCGAGAACCTCCCGAGCAGGAAGTACAAGACCTTTCACACACCGTGTTTGTTGAATTCGTAAAAGCCATTCATAGAAAAACATATATAATGCTACAGGGCCACCACCATTACTAGCTGCAGAAACCCCACCAGCTTCCACATCATTCCCATCAACATTATCATCACCACTTCCAACATCGTCATCATCACCATTCTCATCTCCTACAGCTGGGAAATCCTCCACAATATCATTCACAGAAGTTGTACCAGCTCCAGTTCCACAATGACCACACTTCATTTCACTATCGGCAGATGGTACCCACGCATCTTGCATTCCACATTCCGTACAAGAAGGCGGTCGGTAGGACCACCAGACAAGGTATAACATCTTATCATACAAACGCCACGCGTGTCGAGTCAGTGGATCCTCAAAAACATCACAGAAGGCGCCGGTAACGAATGGATGTTCATCTACACACGAGTTACACTTTGTTGCAACCTCTGTGTAATTATTATTATTATTATCATTATCATTATTACTGCTACTAGACAGCATCCCACTGGAGGAGATTCCAGAGGAGGGGGTGGCACATGTTGACTGCAGGACTGACTCCACCAAACTGCAGAGGTCAAGTAGTTGTGTGCGTTTTAGCGGGGTAAGGTGAACGGCCATTATATACAACTCTGATGTATATATATATATGTATATAGATAGGCCAGTAGGTATCTGCCTGTAATTACAGAAAAAGAAAAAAGCAAGAATAAGAAAAAATTAAAAAAATAAGATATATATATATATATATATATATATATTTATCTATAAAACAAGAAGAGACTAGAGGAAAAAAAAACCTTGTGAGTATATATGTGTGATAAATTCACTTTCTTTTCCTCAACCCCTTTTCCTTTTTTCCCGCGCTTTACATAAAAAAAAAAAAAGAAGAGAAATAATATCGAGAAAGTTATTCATGCATAAATGTAAAAAAAAAGGAAATGATAAGACAATTTCATAAATTTTTCTATTATTTTTCCCCCACCCTACATCTTTTTTTTTTTTTTTGAATTAAATGGTCACTTCATCGTCCCCCACTCCAGACCCCAACTCTCTCAAAAAGATTGAATCTACGAATCATAATAGTTGGTAAGAACAAGGAAAAGAAAAGAAAACAATAACACCAACAATAACAATAACGAGGGGAAGGGGCGGAAAACAATGACGACAACTCCCATAAGCAACAACAGAATCAGTCGAAATCAAAATATAAAAAAAAAAAAAGAAAAAGAAAAAGGGCGCATAAGTTCTCTCTCTCTCTTCCCCCCCCCCCTAATTCTCCACTTTCTCCTCAGCAATCTTATACAATTACTTATGCTCTTTTCCCTCTTTCTCCTTCCCTTTTCACGTTATTCGTAACTCATAAATAAACCGTTATCACGAAATTCCCATTCTTCCCCCCACCACCGAATGAAATTTGAAAAGATGTGGTATTAACGTAAATAATACCAAAAATATGCCAGCACGGCTGGTGACTGCAATTCCCATTCACGAGAGGGGGTGGGGGGGGGGATCAGGCGATATCCTCCCCATATTCAGATACAACTCAACGCACAAAGAAAACAAAGAAAAAAAAAAAAGAAAGAAATAAAAAAAAGGAGAGAAAGAGTGAAAGACACATATACACCCCTTTTTACCGTTTTTTATTTTTTGTTTTTCTTCTTCATCTTCTTCTTTTCTTACGAACAACAGTTAGAGACTGGTTTGTTTCCATTATCATGGGGCACATGAGGAGAACCAAACCCACGTAGATCCATCCGTCTCCCATTCTCTGGTCTTGGGGATGAGAAAGAATGGGAAAATGAAAGAGATGAAGGTACGGTAGCGGCTGTACTAATAGAAGCATTAGTAACAGCAGGAACAACGGCATGTGAAGAGAGAGGAACAGACCACATAGTGCCATTAGCAATACAAGATCGTGGAATAGATAATGAACCTAATTGAACTCGTTCAGACACACCACCCGCATGAGTCATACTGGTAGTACTAGCAATAGAAACAGCAGCCGATCGCTTTAATTGCTGCACCGCATTAAGTGCCAACACCAACTGCATAAAAGCATGTGTAACACCATTTCCATTAAGAGCAGAAGCCAAGAAATGACGCATTCCCAAACGATGTGTTAAATCTTCCGCGTCATCTTGAGAAACTGTACACAGATGTGAGAGATCTGTTTTGTTTCCAATGACAATACCAACACAATCTTCACATGTGTGTTTACGTACATGCTCTACCCACATAGGGATACGGGTGAGTGTACTTTCTCTGGTGACATCGTATACAAAAACAACACCCACGGCATTACGAAAAAAGGCTGTACTAATCACTCCACATCTCTCTTGTCCGGCAGTATCCCAAAGCTGAACAATAACTCGTTCTGTTTGACCCACTTGCACAGATGGTACCTCCAATTCACGTGAAGTAAACTCTATACCTATAGTAGATGGTGTTTGAATATCAAAACGATCACGAGTAAAGCGTGAGAGCAAATTACTCTTACCCACACCACAATCTCCAACAACAAGTACTTTATAGGTTGGAAGAAAAACATGTGAAAAAGTGGGAGGAACGGATGAAACCGTCGGAGGGTCTTTTTTAGATTCTGTAAGTGGATTACTACTACTTGTTCTGCTATTCGTCTCATTTTCATCATTATTATAATCATCCACACATGGTGAAGTAATGGAACAAGAGAGTTGTGGGGAGCTGTTTCTGACCATTTCCTCATTTCTATTCACTTCTTGCTGGTCTTGCTCCTGCGGCTGTGGATTAAGCGAAGGGACGATCATCTAATGGGAGTGTGGATAAAAGAAAAGAAAAGAAAAAAAAAAAGATTACAGGAAAGAGAAACTAGAGAACGCAAAAAAAAAGAAAGAAAAAAAGAGAAGAAGCAACATTTCTTAACAATAATAATAACATGAAAAAAAAAAAAATAAAGAGAGGACTACTGGTCAGTTAATCCATTATACATAATGGAGATAGTAAATTAAAAACAATAAATAAAGGAAATAAACAAACAAACAGAGGCATACAGATCAAGAAAAAAAGAATCAAAAGAAAAAAAAAATAATCATTAGCTTTATATTTGTATACTCTGCCATGAAGGTTGGTATCTTGACTCTCCTTTGAGGAGAAATAAAAGAAAAGGGGGAATCAAGCGCCACAGTGTCAGAAACCAATATACACAGGAAAGGATATATATATATGTATATGTATATATATATATAGAGACATAGAGAGATATAATCCGAAACATATTTCCATTTAACTGTGAATATGAGTTACTTCCCTCGAAACCAAACCACCACCACCGTCACCATCATCCTCAATACCATTACTACCCGTTCCACAAGCAAAACTCACAACCAAACATACAATAAGCAACATCACTAAAAAAGAAAAAAAAAAAAAAATCAACTCAGTCAACACCAGCAATAACAAGAACAAAGAAGGATCAAGAAGAAAAAACAGAAAAAAAAAAACACGCTACGTTTCGGGTGAAGGTTGTTGTTGTTGTTGTTGTACTTCACTTGGTGGAGTTTTCTTCTCTTTACTAGAGATTCCCTTCTCAGCACTTTGTGTTGTACTTTGGCGCCAATGCGCAAAACGCTGTTGAATCATTCGCTGAGCCGTACGTGGAGCCATTCGCACCACACTACCCGCCTCATCAATGAGATCACTCACCGACAAGATATGCCGAATAATCCACAGTCGAAGTTTCTGCCGTTGTCCATTACAGGCAATTAAATAGATATCATCATTAAAGATCCATCTATGCGCTATCGATACTCCATACATTTCTAAACAAATAAGGAAGTTTTGTAGATCTGCGGTAACCTCCTTGGCAGGTGTAATGGGAGAGTCGGGAATAATACCATAGAATACAAGCGTATTAAGAAGTACACCTTGCCAAAATGATAAAAACACAACTGCTTTAATAGCTAGAAATTTAGAAGTTGGGGAATATACCTGCATAAACTTTTTAGTGGCAAAGTAAAAGTATACCAGTGCTGTTAACGCAAAACTAACACTAATGGTTCGAATAACCGCTAGATATAGATAAGCATCATACGGAGAAAAAGATCCATCGTGATAGAATCCTGTAAAATACAGAGGTACTGTAAGAATTGTTAACAATGGATTGAGAATAACATACTGCGTTAAAAACAACTTCCATAGATATAATGTATTTTCATCCAGTGGAATAGGTGAAAAAATAAAATTGAAAGGGAAAATATGATGCATCACATATGTTGTACCTTCACGTGGCATCGACCCTTCCTTCTCCACCTCCTTTGGTATTCGTACTTCCTCCTCTCTTTTTTCTTCTTTTTCTTCTTTTCCCTCTGGCAATAGTGGTGTTTCTAATTCCCTCACCGATTGAGATGACGTCTTCTTCTTCTTCTTTACGATTACTGGATGAGAAGGGGAGGAAACACTATTTCCATGTATGGATGATGCTAGGGCATTACATCTCCGCAATGGATGGTCCATATGTATTTCATCCTTTGTATTAGATGGTAGTGGGTCATCAAGATCTTCTACTTCAATGTAATTATCTCCAGTACCAAAACACTTCCATAGTTGCAGGACCCGTTCCTCACCTTCCAGGTATTCCATGAGTAAAAAATAAAATTGATAAATCACATAAGCCTCATATGTATCCCGTACCACCGCAACAATAGAGGATACCGGATAGAAAAGAAGTGCAATAAAAGAATCCAATGCATATACAGGAACAAGTAAAACTATACGAAAAATCAAACGTTGTTGAGAAGGGCATGTGTAAGCGGTTAAATGACATAAAATAAGTAAACATGTCATTCCTACTGCAGTAAAACAAGCCACACCACTAATAGAACACAATGCCACATATGCATTTACATCATCTCGAACATATAATACTATAAAGAGTGCAATCATAATTAATAATGCCGGTATAGACACTAGAAAAAACATCAAATGTAGACGATCAACAATTTGGGGCCGGCGAAGTGGAGTAACACGTCCATCTTTATCTTTACCAAAAAAATCTTTGATATTCTTTTCTTTTTGCTGTTTTTTTTCTTCATCATTATTATATGAAGATATGGGTGAATACTGTACATCATTAAATCCATATGGTATTTTTTCTTCTGAAGATGAAACCAGACGAGAATGTTGTTGCTTCTTCTTTTCTTCTTCTTCCTCTTTCTCTCCATTGGCATAGGGTTCAGATGAAGTGGTAGTCCTCATCCCATTAACTACTTTCGTCATTTTTTTTTTTTTTTTCACGTATATGTGTTATGTGAACTTTTCTAATAATCTCGTCTGTGTTCCTTTTTTTTTTTTCCGGTATTTCCCTCCTCCTCCTCCTCCTCCTTTTGTAATACCTAAACACAGAATAAAAAGAAAGAAAAAAAAAAAGATAAAAAAAAAAAAAATAGAAATGGAATTGTACGGTATAAAGTGATTTACCCACACAATACTCAACAATATTTAAAAACAAGGAATACCTGTATTATACTCTCTTTCTTTCTTTCTTTCTTTCTCAACACAACACAACAAACAAGACTAGCATGCATGCACGTCCACATGCCTGCCTATGTCATGAGGTCCAGAAACGCACTGGCCTCCTCCACTGCGGTGGTGTCCCGCTTCCTAAACACATCATACCCATCATCTGCTGTATACACTGGATTGGTATGTTTATCCGGTGCGAATTCCGCTGTTGGAATGATCTGACCATTATACTTATCGAGTTCCGCCACTACTTGTGGGGTGTAATGCACTTCACGAATACGTAATATCGTCGCTGCGTGTGGGGCATCTATCCACCGCATATGCCGCCGTCCGGGTGTGGCGAAGAGAGAGACGACATTCCGCATTCGTTTCTGTTCTTCTACTACAGCCGTCACTCGGGCACCGTGCAGGAGTGGGCGGCCCACTGCCGTGAAGCCGGCGGCACCCACGAGGAGTACTTTCTTCAGTGCAATGTGGCTGCCAATCTCCGCACGCAGTCGCTGGACCGCAATCACATCGCCGGCAGTGACTTTGTATTGATGGCCACCGCAGTGCACAACAGCGAACTTGCGGCCGGTGAGGCGCGGCTGCAGGGCGGCAGCAATACGGGCATCCGCACACTGCACAAGGTTCATATTACAGCAAGGAACACACACACACACTTTTCGTTTTTTTTTTTTTTTTCTTTTCTTGGATCTCGCTCTCTCTCTCTCTCTCTCTCTCTCTCTCTCTCTTTTCTCTTTTTGTTTTCCTCGTTCTTTTTTCTTTCGTTTTTATTATTATATTCCTGTTTTTTTTTTTTTTTGAATGTGTACTATATATATATTTTTTTTTGTTTTTGTTTATCTTTCTGTGTTGCGGTAGTGGTTGACGAGCCGCTGAATGTTTCGTACTATCACACCACCCACCCCCTCAGCCACGGTGTTCACCCAGCCGCTATCAATCCATCAATTAGTTGAGAAATGAAATAAGAGAGAAGAGAGAAGAGAGAGGGGGAAAGAAGTAAATGAAAGGAGTCAACAACATATCATTTCATAATTTTCTTTTTTTTACCAACATACATTATGTACACAGACACACAGAGGGAAAGAGAAAGAGAGAGACGCAGATAGAGAGGAATTTCTCAAGGAAAAAGAAGACAGAAAGAATAACTTCTTCCATCTTTTCTTTTATCACTGCATCAAGGTACTTTCAATAGCTGACAAGGTTTGCAGGTACCAACCGAGTGGGTGTGGTTCTACCGCATCCTTACATTCATCATTATCACCACCATTAATATCACTTTTATCACTTTGACCTCTTTCTACAGTTGGTGTGTACATTACATCCAAACCAGGGGTCTGACAATCCTTCCGCATACTGCTACGGTCAACACTGCCAATACTAGTAGTATTAACTCCGTTGCAGTTACCATTATTATTATTATTATTATTATTATTATTATTATTATTACTCTGCAGACGATTGGGTGAGGCGTAAAAACCATTTACCAGAGTAGCCACATCAGCAGCAGCAGCAGCAGCACCTCTTCCTTTTCCTTTTCCTCCTACTGTGGGTGTACTCGATAACACCCCAAACTCCGCTGAAAGAAGTGGTGCTGGTGGTGGTACTGACATCCCGAGTTCCCGTTGTGCCTGCAAAAGGGCATTTAGATGAGCCACAGATTCTTTAAGGGAATCACAGATTACTTTTTTCTGACGAAGGGCTTCTTCTAACTCTGCAATACGTCGTTTCTTCTGCTGTAATTCATAACCATATCCATTAGGGTCATTTACAGTATTTAGCTTTCCTTGAATGACTTTTATTCCATTTTCTGCTTGGTCTCGAGATGGTGATGTTTGTGTATTTGATAGTAAGGATGAGGGTGAAGGATGATAAAATAAAACTGGATTCCAATACTGCAAGAGTAACTCACACCGTTGTACCAAAGCCTGTTCCCATGTATTAAATGAGACTACATACACTGTAAAGAATTTATACAGTAAAGAAGAGAGTTGCCCAACGTCTTCCTTTAATATCGTTTGTTGCTTCTCTTCCCGTTGTTCCTGTTCTTGTATTTGTTGAGCCATGCGTACTAATTCTGTTGTTGTTTTTTGGGTTGCATCTGCATGTTGTTGTGCAGCTTCTTCCCAACGTCTTGCCTCATCTTGTGAGAGTTCTAGTTCACCTAAAAGACGACAGTTCTCTTCATTAAGACTATTAGCCATTGCCCAACATTGTTGAAGTATGAGTCCACATCGTTCCATCATGGCATCAGCATAAATATGTAGTAATGACATAGAAGTAGTATCTACAGAGTAAAGACGATGTGAAATAACTTCTTTTAGTTTAGCCATTTCTTCTTCACACTTTACTTGTAATCCTTTCTTCTCATTTACGGCAGTTGCAAGAGTCTCTTCTAGACGGCTTACTTCCGTTACCATTCGTGCCACAGCTTCTGAGGCCTTTGCAGTTGTAGAGAAGACTGTTTGTTTTTGTACTTCCTCCGCTTCTTTCCAGACTTCTTCTCTCACAGAATCCAGTTCCATTTGCCGTTGCCGCTGCTGTTCTTCTACGGTGGTATCATACACACATGTGATAAGGGAGTATAGTTGATTTCGTCCAAGAGAAAGAGCCTCATGCGGATCTTCCACATGGAATTGATGGAAAGCACCCTCACTCACATCCTTCCTTTCACTATTATTATTATTATTATTATTATTATTATTATTCTCATCATGGGCTACATTCGTTCTCCTCCTCATGGTTGCTTTTCTTCTTTCCGCCTCTATACAGGCTCGCATCTCCGCCCATGAGAGCACCCACTGTGTCACCTTCTCTTGACTCTGCCGCAGTCTTTTATCCACTTGATTTACTTCCTCCACCGCTACATTGAGTTGGTCTTTCAGTTCTCGTTCTTGTGTACACCAATTCTCTTCCTTCACCGCAAATTGCAGCTGTGCCTCACGCAACATGATATTCTGTTCGTCTACTTGTTTCTCTAATGCATGACATCGCTCTTGTAGTCGTGCAACGTCTTCCATGGCTTCCTGTCGTTGACGCTGAAGATCTGCAATCGCGTCCACGGCCGCAGTTTTACCTCTCTCTGGTGTAGAGAGTGGAGGCGTTGTTGTTGTTGTTGTCCATCTGGGAGAAGAGTATAGACGCTGCTGCATAGTTGTATCCTCTGAGCAAGACTGTTGTTGTTGTTTTTCTTGTTTTTCTTCTTTTTCTGGTGCTTTGGTGGGGGTGATGTTGTGTGATGCCTGAGTGAAGATATTGGATTCACGCACTAGGGATTTTGTGGAAACACCAACTTCAGTACTCAGATGTCTGTCATTATTAATAACAATATTATTATTATTATTATTATTATTAACATCAAGGGTAGACGGCTCTATGCTATTATGGCTAGCAACATATGTAGCTGTGGCTACTGCTCTTTCCAATGTAGGAATTCTCTTTACGGCCGGCATATTATCCTCACTCGTTGCATCACTCATCGATACATTCACAGAAAGTCCTTTATACGTTGTAGGTGTTGTACTTCGTGCAGCTCGCAGTGAAGCGGAGAATAACGACTGACGGGAATCATTAAGACTCACCATCGTACACTCCGTAGTGGTATTTTCAATTTTTCTAAGCATCTCATAAGCATCCTCATACATACATAGAAGGACATTATGAGAGGCCTCTAGTTGCAACTGTGCATCTCGATACATGGTCTTTAAAAGCTGTATATGGCCAGTGGACGATGATAATGATGATGATTTATCTTGATCTTTTGAAGTTAATGTTAAAGTTTCCTCCATATTATCCAACATTGATTTTACCATCTTTTTCTTTTTTTCAACCTCCGGTTTGATAGCAGCAGCAGCAGCATTATTATTATTATTATTATTATTATTATTATTATTATTATTATTATTATTATTCGTAGGAAAAACATCATATTTCTGCGGTGTCGTCACAAGAGCATCCATATCGCCTGTTTTCTTCTTCTTCTCTTTTCTGGTCTGTTGTTGTTTTTCTTCTTCTTGTTGTTGTTTAGATGCAGATGATGATGATGTTGGCGGTGGTGAAATAGTATCACTTTCCATATGGCTGTGTTTCTTTCGAAAATCCAATTTTCTATTATAACTCTTACGTGATTCTTCATATCCAACATAAGTCATTACAAGCTTCTGCAAACATTTACAGGCATCTTGTAATTGTGCTGTAAGCATCTCATTACGTTTTTTCACTTCTCGCAGAGTATTTCGTTGGTGTTCCACTTGTGCCTCTGCTTGTTTACATCTATACTCCAATTGGGCACAGTGATCTTCCATAAGAAATGTCGTTTCTCGTGCTTCCGAAACAGAAGATTCTTTCATGCTAAATATCAATTCCTGCTCCTGCGCAAGTCGTAGTAAAGAGGGAAGAAGCGAAGATTGTACATATTCCGAGACTGCGGTAGTTTTGGCTTCTTGAGCCCATAATGAAATAAGAGGACTTTCAACCATGCGAAAACTGTTGTTGTTTTTGTTTTTGTTTTTATTGTTGTTACTCTTCACATTTTCATTTTCATTATCTAAACTATAATGGGAAATAAGTGGTTTATTAAGGAAATGCTCAAATTCACACAGGTGATCTTGTATAGTAGAAACAAGAGCATTTTCACTTTCTCTACTTCCACTTTCTTCTATTTCTATAGTTTCCATCGATAAATATGTTTTTTTACCTTTTGCTTCCATTATGGACTCTTGTAATACTCGTTTGGCACATTGTAGTGTATAAGAACGAAGACGTTTCTTTATATCTTCTGATGCCAATTGACAAGCAATATTTAATTCTTCTTTAGCATCTATACAACGATATTCCCAATACTCATTCTGTACAATTGAGTGTGGTGGAATAACAATAAGACGGTGATTAAAGATAAAAGGCGCTATTCCGGTTTTATACGCTAATAACGCTACTCGATATGCAATCTGTAAAGCGGAATCCAATGTAAATAACCGTGGTGCGGCGGTAATAGTTCCAATACTATTTCCACGTACTAACAACGGTGGTAAAGGCTCCATAGCTCGTATAGCCACAAAGAGAACATCTGCAGTAGCCACATAAAGCTGTACAGCAGCCTTAACGACTATGTGAATCCTTTCTTGTATGGGGGAAACAATTTTACTATCAGATGTCTCTATAGTAGTAAACCAGACATGTTGTAATAATAATGACCATTGATAAATACTTTTACAAGAGGAAAGTTTACGATAATCCTTATTTTGGATTAAATTATAAAGTAACATTTGTAAACTACACACCTGTTGTACTCGACAAGAAGAATACTCAGAAGTGATAAGAGAATCTTCTCTAGTATTATAGAAAATTGCAGGAGACATTAGTGTTGGATCAGCATCATCATCTCCTGTGGAGTATTTCCCTTTTACTTCTTTCTTTGTTGTTGTTGTTGTTGTTGCTTGGTAAAGAGTATCCATCATATACAAAACACGTTTAATAACGGTTGAATGGCCAACAATATAAACAAAATCCACTACAGAGAGAAGAGTTTGCCATACAGGCGATGTACTTATTTCCTCCACATCAACTTCCGTAAAATTCACTTCCAACAACATTACATTCAATGATAACCCATTCTCAAGATTAATAGAATCAACTCCTACCAGACCGTCTCTACCATTACATGATTCTACAAAATCCATTGCATGAAGAGGCCGTACTGTAATACCACTAGAAATGGATGATGTTGAACTCTGTTCTCGGCAAATAAGACCAACAAGAAAAGTTTCACTGTTTTCATTGAGATCCATATTCACCCATCGTCTTCCCATTGCCTGCGTTACTATCTTGAACACACGTTTAGCCTCTTTTTCTTCTTCTTCATTATTCAAACCAAGTGATAAATGGGTTTTCATAGGAGACTCATCATTATTAGGAGTTTCATTCCCATCATAGTGCTGTCGCAAGAGTCGAAATAAACCACGTGCTCCAATCTGTAGTCGGTCTACATCTAGTTTCTCCACATTTAGAAGTTTCTTTCCTTTATCTTCACTATTACCTCCTTTATTGCTGGTACTGATGGTACTCTTGCTGGAGGTTTGCCATAAAGTCCCAGTGACGATAGTTTTAAGAAAAACATCCTCAAGTGGAAGGACTTCTTCCTTTTCTTTTCGATTAGGCGAGTCATATCTACTACTTTCCCGCTGAGGAGAATGTGGACTTTTCCCTGAAATACTTCTAGAAGAACAAGAAGTATCTGTTACCCACAAATGAGTAGAATCGATATAACGTGCCTTTTCCTCTTTATTCCATGTAGATATACAATATGATACGGATTGTTCCATCTTTTTTTCTTCCTCAACTGAACAACGGCCCATACGAACCACTGAAGAAAGAAGTGGATCTAGAGGAATCAATAGAGGTGGCATATCATTTATTATTTTATCTGCTGAACCTGAAGCGAGATCGTTTTTTTGATTCCACAAAGAATTCACATTCAAGCGATTATTCTTGAAAATACAATATGGAGTTGTTTTTATCACATCTTCCATGATGTATCACTTTTTTCTATTAATGTTTCACACTCCTTTAAAGATCACTGTCAATCTATATCTTCCGTTTACTTCTTTTTGTTTTTTCTTCTTCTATTTTTCTATGATTAATTTGCTTTAAATAGCAAATCCTTCTATATATTTATATACTTGATAAAATGTACTTTTGTATTTGTTTAACCTGATATTACCTTCAGTATATTACTTTAATAGCGTCTGTAGATAGAGATAGAGGCAAGTACAAACATAAACAAAAAAAAAAAAGAGAAATAATTAAATCATGTAAAAAAAAAAAAAAATAACAATTGCCAATGGGATGATACAATTTCATTATTCAGTAATTCACTTTACAGGAGCATTCGAGACAAATAATAATAATAATAATAAAAACAGGTCGGAGGTTGTTCACTTTTTTTTTTCACTTACAGACACGTATTAGACGACGAGAGAGCGCATCTCTTTTTTTTTTTTTTTGCTTTCAAACCTCAACGACGAGCATGACAAGAAGTATTATAGAGCATTCTCCTCAACCCTTTTGCCACATCGTTAGAGTACAGCACAGTGGTTGATGAGATTCAGAGTACAGTGGTCGCCTTCTACTGCCTCCAAAGAAAGACTACGTAGGTATTGGATTATTTAACAGAGATATTCAACTTGGCGGGAGAGCGCTGGTTCTGTTGGGTGGCTTGTAGACTCCCGCTGAAGGTCTATCAGTTGGTGGTTTGTATGCTCCAGAAGACGGCTTATCAGTTGGTGGTTTATAAGCTCCAGATGATGGTTTATCAGTTGGTGGCTTGTAAGCTCCAGATGATGGTTTATCAGTAGGTGGTTTGTAGGCTCCAGAGGATGGTTTATCGGTTGGCGGCTTATATGCTCCTGCAGAAGGTCTGTCAGTAGGCGGCTTGTATACCCCAGCAGATGCTCTCTCTGTTGGTGGCCTATATACCCCTGTTGATGGCTTATCATTGGTAGTTTCTTCTGCCACCTTGGTTGCCTGCTCTGTTGGTGGTCTGTATACTCCAGACGATGGCTTATCCGTTGGTGGCTTATATGCTCCAGATGATGGTTTATCAGTTGGTGGCTTATAAGCTCCAGATGATGGTTTATCCGTTGGTGGTTGATATGCTCCAGAAGAAGGCTTATCCGTTGGTGGCTTATAAGCTCCAGATGATGGTTTATCAGTTGGTGGTTGATATGCTCCAGAAGAAGGCTTATCAGTTGGTGGTTTATAAGCTCCGGACGAGGGTTTATCAGTTGGCGGCTTGTAAGCTCCAGATGATGGTTTGTCGGTAGGTGGTTTGTAGGCTCCAGAGGATGGTTTGTCGGTTGGTGGTTTATAAGCTCCAGAGGATGGTTTATCAGTTGGTGGCTTATATGTTCCCGTGGTTGTTGGTTTCTCTGTTTCTGCCTCTTCCTCATTCTTCTGCGGTACACCAGCCGCGACCTCCTCGAGTGTTGGGAGTTCCGCCGTGGCGAGGGGCCGGCCGCGTGCGGGGGCGATGGTCCCTGTGGCCCCATCATTTCCACGAGCGACGAATTTCTGCGGCCCCGACTTCTCTGCGGTTCGTGCGAGAAGATCCTCAACGGAGCCCGCCGCCGGCCGCACGGCGCCCCATCCCTTCGCCTTCCGCTCCGACGTGTTCACCACCCGCACAAACACATTAGGAACACCAGGCTCCTCCGCCTTCTCCAAAATAGTAGTAGTGGTAGTGGTAGTGGGAGGAGGAGGAGGAGTGGGAGTAGGTGTGGAGGTGATATCAACACTGGGTTCCTCCGGTGCAGGTTTGAGTGGCGCTACAACGGCCTCTTGTGGGCTTGTGGGTGAAGCTGCGGTGGAGTTTTTATTCACATTGCCGCTCTTGATGATGTTGTTATTGATGTTACCATCAGGGCTGCTGCTGCCAACGACGTTTTGTTCAGTCATCAACGGTAGTGGAATAGGGTCCGCACCGGCGGTGTCGAGGCCGCCGAATACATCTAGACCGAGTTCTGCCCGCTCCTTCTCGGAGAGCTCCCCTGTCTTTGCCTTTTTCTTGCTCCCCGCGAGCTTCTTGCTTTTTTTATTGAGGAATGCGTCCAAATCCATTTATTTAATAGAGAAAACGGATACGGGAGTAAGATCAATATAAGTGTGTGCGTATGTATAGTGATGGAGTACTGTGTCAGTTATTTATCGCGCTGCCGGAGAGTCACTCTCTTCTTTCTGTCGTGTGTAATGATGATGATGATATCCGCCCCTTTTTATTTCTTTTTTTTATTTCTTTTTTTTTTTTTTACACCTTTCGCTTCTTTCTTTTTTCCCTCCTTCTGTGGGTGAAAGAAAGAGGAAGAGAAGGCGACAACAACAACAAAAAGAAAAAAACCGGTAGAAACAAATAAATACATTCAAGGACCAAAGAACAAAACAAAACAAACAAAGAAATAATAAACCACATCAAAAGACATCCCACAGCATTCAGGCAGTTCTCTCTCTTTCTCTTGATTTTTACCATTCCACTTTTTCATTTTCTTCAGCAAAACGCCATACACATATACTCACAAAAATGTCCACCATGACCAGTTTCTCTTTCATGTCTGCTGGTAGCATTGAGAGAGATACACAAACGACACGCCACTCCTCCACCTATTACACTTAGAGTGACAACTAGAGAGAGGTAGAAAAACAAACAAACAGAAAAAAAAAAAACATGCTGAAAAAAACCAAAAAAGAAAGTCAAAAAAAAAAAAATAATAATAATAACAATAAAACTGTGGGAAAACTCTACACTTTGATTCGCCAACAAGAAGAAAAGAATTATTTTGTAATATTCATATTTATGTCTTTGTCACTTGTCGTGTTTCAATCCATACTTCATAGAAAGAAGTCTCTATTATCAATACTATGGAAGAAGAATTACTGAAATTCCCTTTTTAATCAGTCTCTCGCAGAGGGTAAATAGGGATGGGTTTGGTTGGTACCCCATTTCAGAAACTTAACCCCCTTTTTTATTCGTCATTATTTCTATAGGGAAAATGGAATACAATATAACGTGATAAATTTCTTTCTACCGAAGATAGGATTAGAGTATTCTCTTGACATGCTCCCTCTTACTCTCCTACCCCAGAAATAATAGGTAGGGAATAAGAATAAGAAAAAAAAAAAATAATAACTCATGTGATGAGAGTTAAAAAAGAGCACACCCGCAGACAGTCACGGATTTATTTATTTATTTATTCATCTACGCATCTCTTTCTCTATCAAACGTATTTTTTTTTTTTTTCATTTTGCTTTTTCCTCTTTCCATTTACCATTGTAAAATAACACTAACAGCAGAAGGTAAAAAAAAAAAAAGAGTATAGTAAGCATAACGAAGTTTATATATATATATATATATATAAAGCCAAAGAAAATAATAACAAGGTCTCTAAACGTACGACCAAGATAACAAAAAAAAAAAAAAAAAAAAAAAGTGATGAAGAGAACAAACGCTTCGCTCATTTATTTTTTGTCCTCCCGAAAAAAAAAAAGACTCTACACATAAATAAAACATGGAAACAGAGGAAACAAATAAAACCAAAGAAAAAAAAATTTGAAATAAAAAAATAGACAAAAAAAAAAAATACACAGCGAGAGTTATCAAAGGGTCTAACTCAAAATCCACTCGTTCGGAGTGCAGCCCAATAACCCTATGCAGTGACCCTAGTACTCACATATATTCTTCATCACCAAAGAAAGAAAAAGAAAAAAAGAAATAAAAGAAAAAATAAAAAGAAAACATAATGATGATAGCATCGCCAACATTTTTCTTTTCTCGTTTTTTTTTTTTTTTTTAGTCCACAAAATTTCTGGGAGTTTTTTAACCCTTGCGGACCATAGCACGTGTCTTGTCAAGGGGGGTGGACCGTTGTACTACAACGGCATCTCGTTTTTTCAATAATGCCAAATTATTATGGACTACTCCGTTCTCCCTATTGTACGCCTTTTGTGGATTACTACCATTACTACTGTTACTGTTTGGTGTTTTCTTTGAGAGTATTGACTCTGGTTTGGAAAATGGAGTTTCTACCAAACGTCGTGGATGCAGTGGAGGAGGACGATTCACTAATGAACGTTTATGATTTTCCTTGTCACTATTATTCTCACCCACAATAAAATCTGTTTGGATATCTAGTATTGTATCAACACTAATATTATCATTACGATTATTCTTCTTTTTTCGTTTCGGTGGAGAGGATGGAGAGATGTGGTTTTGTAATAGTGGTGGTGTTGGTGATCTACCACCACCTAATGATATACCTTTTATGATGTGTGGATTCACTCCGTTTATTGCTAACACACACTCGGGACTATCGTTTGAGGAGTGTCTACCCATTTCTTTTTCACTATCATCGGATGGCTGTAAAGAAAGGGGTACGGCACACTGGGATGGACGCAAGATCCCTGAGGAAGGCCGTACGGTGTCGGAGCCCGCACGGCGAAGGAGTGGTGGGTGTGGAATAACGCACTCTGTTGTTGAGGAGTCTTTATTGTTCCCACTATTACCCTTTTTGATCGTCTTCCCACCACGACCCTTACCAATTACAGGAGGAGCAGAAGAAACTTTAATTCCTCCTTCTGACAACCGATCCACATTTAGTGGTTGTTGTTGTTGTTTTTCTTTTTGTCCTTTTTTCTGTGGACGTTGCGTGAAATCAATATTCTTAAAAGGTGACTCATCTACTTTAGTTTGTGCGATTCGGGGCAGTTGGCTAGAACTCGCTGGTCTATTCCGTACTGTTAGTGGTAAATGCACACCCTTCACTCCATTCATCTTTTTCTCCTTCTCCTCCCCCTCCCCCTCCCCGGAACCCAAACACTCCACAATCTTATCATCACCCAAATCAACCAAATCCTCCTCACCGTATTCCTGTTCTTCTTCCTCTTCCTCTTCCTCCTCGTCTTCAGCATTAACAATCTCGTCCACATCTTCTGTATCACTTGTGGTGATGGGCACATCCCCCGGTAGTTGCAACTGCGGGTTCTCCCGCGCCACATCCCGCAGGGCCGTGAGGAGCCGCACTTTCGCCTCCCGCTGCCGCTGCGCCTCCCGTCGCCATCGCCGCCCCTCTTCACGCCGGCGGCGGAGATCCGCGCGGAGGTCGCGTTCCCGCCGGCGGGCCTCCCGCACGAGGGCGCAGAGATCCCGCTCCCGCTGGCGCACCTCCGCGAGGGTCTCCGCATGGCGGGCAATGCGGGCCTCCAGCTCCGAGACTCTCTCCACCTCCACCTCTTTTTCTTTTCCCTCCCCGCCGCCCTCGACGGACTGGCGGAGTTCTTCTTGCAGTCGCCGCATGCGGTCCCGCAACTCACGGATGACTTTGGCCAGTGGGTGCTCATTCACACGAACTTGGTTCACAACGCCTCTGGCAAGTGCGGCGTAGCGCAGGGTGGACTCCGTCTCTGAGAACTTGGAGATGTGTGGAGAGATATTCGCACACATTACCGTTCGAGAATTACCACCAAAGTTATCAGAGAGAACGTAGGTTAAAAGACTTTCACGGTATGGCACCACCTTACTGCGATTCACCAATGCCGTGATTACACGACGTAGTACAGAAAGAGAAAGGTTAATAGCATTAGCCTCTGTAAAGTGTTTACCTTTTACATCCGCATTGGTATTACGTTCACTTCCTGCAAGGTCAACGAGATTAATCTTAGACACACGCTGCGTCGTTACTTCTTTTCCACGAACACGTCCACCAAGTGAGATGGTTTGGGTCACAACCATTTGAAATATAGCATGAGATCGACTACTATTCTCATTTCCACTCGTACATGAATGTGCTCGCACAGAGTTACCATGATTAATATACTTCTGACATTCTTCCCAGCTACTAACATCCACAGTTGTAAGTCCCTCTACAAATGGTCCTTGAATAGGGTGTTGTCGTACCTTTAGTACTTCATAACACTCTGAGGGATCTGGATCCCAACGACTATTATAATTGTTATTAGCTACTCCAGCTCCATTCCACCCTTTACGACGTTCTAACTTAAGCAAATCCCATACACGTTCATTATGAATCTCCATAAAAGATATGGTTACTTTTGTTAAACACACTGTTGGTGTTTCACCCGTTGTAGGAGGAGATGCGGAGGGAGTTAAGTTATAACTACTACCATCTTCACCTTTAGAAGAAGTACTAAAACCAGAAGGACTTCCTGGAATAGATAAATCCTCATTTTCATGTGGTCGTTGTTGACCTGTCGCTTGTTCAGCTATAGAGTTAAATAAATGACGAGTAACTCGTGGAATAAGACCTTCATGTGATTGATTACCCATCATCGTATATGTCTTACCACTTCCAGTTTGTCCATATGCAAAGATACACGCATTAAACCCACGTAAAGACCAATCAACAAGAGGAACTCCAAGTGCTTGAAATAACTTTTCCTGCTCTAATTCCGCCTCTTCATCAGAATTTTCTCCCGTTAACATAATTGGACTCCCATTTAATAATCCTTTCCGTCGATATTGCGCTTGTCCTTCTTGTGACTCTATCTCTTGCTTTGGCGGAGGTGAGGGTAACATTGGTTCGTGATTCATATCATCAAAAATGTCTACCTCAACGCTTGGTGCGATTGAAGATATAACGTATTCAAAATTAAACTTAGTCTTGGATACACCGCGGTTTGTTGGATCAAGCAATGTAATCGTTTTCCCATCATTGTCAACATCTACAATGGGTTCCAAGAAATGTCTTTCATCAAATTCTTTATCATCTTGCTTTTTCAATTCCCATTGTTTTTCTTGACGAGTAAAGGGACGAATACGAACAGCCACAAGAATACCAAGGGCATTTGTATGATTAGACCCATTTTGGCTTGGCTCACGTATAACTTCATCGTCTTCTGTATGAATACATGAAGGTGAGGGTTGCGATTTCAGTACAGGACCAGAACTCTGACGTCTTAACATGAACGAAAAACTGTAATTTGAAGATACAGCCAACAAAAAATAAAATATAATAATAAATATAATAATAATAAATATAATAATAATAATAATAATAATAATAATAAATCAGGGTATTCACTTTTTAAATTTCTCTAGAAACTTCACTCCCACAGGAATACCAACAGCAGTCCTTTAGGTGGCACTGTGCAACCTTATTCGCGTGTTCGCTTTCTCTATGTGTATATGTTCGTAAATATCCGACTAGACGTTTTTTTTTTTTTTTCTACTTGCCTTCTGTGTGTTTGAGAGGGGCGTTCACTTACTTATTTCCCTCTATGTCACTTTAGCATTCCAAAAGTAAATAATAATAACAAGAACAACAAGGAAAAAAGAAAAACAAAAAAAAAAAAACACACACATATATGTATGTATATACAGAAAGATAATTAAATACATATATATATATATATATATATATATATATATATATATATATATATAAGGGAAAGATAGATAGAGATAGATAGAAGTATTTTTTTTTGAACTGTGCAGTATACACTCTACATTTCTTTCTCAGTTTGTCAACTTGGATCGTTCTTTCATTGCATGAGGGTTTCAACATATATATGTGTACATGCCTATTGCACTCCACACACATATAAAGATCAAGAAGGAAACAGAGAACGCATCGCTATGATGAAAAATAAAAGAACAAATAAACAAACAAACAAAGAAAGAAGCAACAACGACAATATTCAACAGAACGAACTAAACATAATAAAAAATCAACATCATCAACAACAACAACATTTAGCGTTAGTTGTTATTGTACATCCTGTACATCACAGCAACCAAAAATAAAAATAAAAGGGACTCCAAATAAACACCAACTCTTCCTTCTATATATATATATATATACTCTTACATTGATTGACTCTTTTTCAAACCCAGAAGTGCCTTCTCAGCCTCAATAGATGGTGGACCACTTGGTGATGATTTTTCGGGTTCCGCACCAGCATCTGTGTAGACTGCAGTAACTGTACTGATTTGAGAAGATCTATTTGTGTATGAACTTCCCGTTGTGTTGGTGATACGACGTCTAGGCATGCGTTTACCTCGTCCTCGAGTGGAATCCGTAGCACGGGCCAATACACGTATTTGCTGTTGTGTGAGTTCAAGTTGTCCTTCTGCAATTTCCACTTTACGTTTCCAATTTCTCTCTGCCCGTCTTAATTCATATTCTTCTGCTTTTTGAGCCACATAGTGTTCAATCTTTGGAACTCTTACTGCCTCATGTTGGGCCTTTATTACCGCATTCTTTCTTTCTGCAATATCAGCTTCATGGGCAACGGCATCCACTTCACGTTGTAATCGAGCCAAATATTCACAACGGGATTTGTAATCTTTACGCAGACGATTTTGTTCGGCGGTGAGGGCGTTTAATGTATCCATGAGTGTATTTAGTGTTTGTACGGTACGGGTGGAGGTTCCTTTTAATTCTACTAATTCCAAATTTTTTCGTTCAATACGTTCTGTAAACTGTTGGTTTTCAATACGTAGTTGTTCAAAATCAATTGCGTGAAATGCCTCTCCTGCGGCATGCCGTTGACGTAAATGTTGTTGTGATTGCAAAATACTTCGCTCTGCTGCGGCGGATTGGGCATTCAATTTATCTAAATACTTCCGTTGGGCATTAAAACGTCTTTCCATATACCGCAGGAGATCATCGGAAGAGGCGGTATCACTTCCCTCATTCAATACCTCCCGATTAAACTGCAGAATATCTAATCGCAGTTCCTGTGTTCGACTCACCGCCTCCTCCACTGTTGCCTTTAACAACTCCCGCAGATGATCGCCTTCCCGCTCATCTCTTTCTCTCTGCTGCCGCATTCGATCCCGTTCCCTCATGAGAAGTGTGACGCGATCCTCCAGGGTGACGTACAAATCACCGGTGTCCACAGACTTGCGGCTGTAGGCCTGTCCGCGGCGGACACTGTTGGGCAGCGACGGGGCCGCGCTCTCGGAACTCACCGCAATGGCGGACTCACTCGCCGTACTCTCGTCTGTTGCCGCCGCTGGATTCTCCGAGGGAAGAAATGCGGAAACGGATTTACGAGTACTCGTGGAGGAGGGAATGGCTGCTGCTGCGGTAGTGGTATTGTTATTATTATTATTAAGGCCTCCTCCTCCTAATCCTTGAGTTCGTGGGATTCGCAAGTTTTCTGCTTGATGGACCATCACGTTTGCTTCTTCTTCGAGGAGTTCGACCTCATCCCGCAGTTCGGCGACGATTTCACGCTGTTCTTCGGGAGTCATTTCCTCAAACTCCGAGGCATCTGGGAATTGTTTTATATACACTTCTGCCCAGAGTTGCTGTTCATTGTTTTCAGGTGCCAAGAAATCAAAGGGATTGGCGCTGTTATTATTGGCACCGCCTTCTAGATCCAAATACTGAATAGACATTATAGTCTAACCACTCTACTAAACTTAAACGGACTCCCCCCATTAAATAAATAAATAAATATATAATAACAAGAAAAAAGAAGCAAGGATAATGAATAACAAGGATCACTGTAATAGTAATCGTAACAATAATAATAATGATAATAAAGGAGTGATAATTACAGCAAAACGCACACACACACAGGCACACAAGTGAATAGCAGATACATAAATACTCAAAGTGGAGATGAGGGGAAAAAAAAGGAAGTTGCGAGAAGCGAAGACAATGTGTTATCGCCTTTGCTAAGCAAAAGCAAATAATAATAATAATAATAATAATAATAATAATAATAATAATAACAAACAACTAAAGAAGGGCTTTTAAAAGAAAAAAAAGAAGAAAAGCAATATGTTATTTTGGTGGGGAAAGAAACAAAAAAAACACAAGAAAAAAACCATCAAAAGATAATGAGGGAAAACAGCAAAAACAAAAAAAGAAAAAAAAAAACCTCCTTTCCTTTCGCCTGCATTTCTTTTCTATGAGCGCAGACAAGCACGAACTTGTGATATTCACAAAGAACTCAAGTGGAAAAGAAAAGAAAAAGAAAAACAACAACAACACCCACGAGCGCACTACACATTTGTACAACAAGGATAAATAGAAATAATTACAAGCGAAAAGAAGAGAAAGAAAAACGAGAGAATAAGCAGAAAAAAAAAAAACAAAAACAAAAGAAAACACACATGTTCAAAAAACTAAACGACCACTGTACACCCCCCGCCCTCTCTCTCTCTCTCTCCAGACTTCCATGTCTTTTTTTTTCCCTCCTCAGAACTATCCACTTGTTTCTCACCATCCTTTTATTGTCATAAAAAAAAGAAAAAAGGAAAAAAAAAAAAAAAACCAAAAAAGTAAACAGAGAAAAACAGAGAACAAACAACAAGAAAAACAAAAACAAAAAGAGAGAAAGAGCAAAACAAACACACATGTACAATACAAACTGAATGTATATATATATATATATATATATATACAGCTTCAATACCTTTTTCTTCACGGTGCTTGCCCACTCATATAGGTAGTCCTATACTCTGTTTCTAATTTTAAGAGGAAAGGATGCTGTAAAGCCTCTGTGCAACTCATACGTTTCCCTGGATGGTAAACGAGAAATCGCCGGACAAAGTCTGCAAAGTGTTCATAACTCTCCACATCATGCCCCTCTTCCCCATGACGACATCCACGTGGACCACATGTATAAACTCCAATGATATCATCAAGTGTCTGACGCTGTTCAGGTTTCGCTGGTATACGGAGAACAAATGGACTCTTTGGAGCCACACGGACAACGCACGATCGCTGTTTTTCTTCTTGTTGTTGTTGTTGTTGTGGTTGTTGTTGCTGTTGTTGTTGATGATGATGTGGTTCCTCTTTCGACTGTGCTCTATTGCGTCCCGATCTCGATAAGGACAATGGGGCTCCCTCACTAACACCACGGGAATGACTATGACTAGTAGAAGCGGATAATCGCGGCTTTGGCCCACTGCTAGAATGTAATGGCAGTAATGCCGTCACCCACTGTGGAAGTTGTGCGTGTCGCTCCACAACAGTGGTTGGATTAGCGCCAACATGAGTTTTTGGTCGCTGTTTCTTTCCTACACTCGTTAATGGATTGTTTGCTTTCGATGCCACAGGCGTTATCACAACACCACCAACACCACTACTACCAATGGAATTGATAGCGGCAGTTCCTCCTATTCCTATTCCTGTTGTTGTTGATGTTATTGTTGTTGTTGATGTTGGTGGTGTTTGTGTTGGGAGGCCTAACTTTCCTTTTTTATTTACGGAGACTGTAACAGCCGTCAATGGTCGACGTGTACCCGATGCGGTGAAAAGACTACTATGCGAATGATTATTCCCTTTACTACTTGATACCGGCAAGGGCAGTCGTTGTAATGATTGTCCCTCTGCTGGAGTTGTCATCTTTGTTGGTGTTGGTGTTGTTGTTGTTGTAGCATTATTATTCGTTACATTTATGAGTGTTGTAGGCATAGATGTGGTAACACCTTCTCCTACTGCTGTGGATGTTCCTGTGGCTACAGAGATGGAAGAAGTGACGGACATACTCTGCAGTACATCCGCCGCAATAATAGGTGATACCGATGTTGTTTTTTCTGTTGTGCCTGCGGTATTCACATTACCGTATGGATCCAGTCGTTGTCCATGGGTGTTACCACTAGAACTCCATCCTTCCCCGCCTACACCATGATGAGAAAATGAATAAAGTTGTTGTTGTTGTTGTTGTTGTTGTTGATGTTGTTGATAGTGTTGGTCCCTGCGGAGATCGTAGAAGAAGAAATTCCTCTTTGGGCTTCGCTCGATCATATCATCCGGCAGTGGGCCGAGAACGGCGATAATGCGGGCAAGTTGATCCACCTCATCACGGCCTGCAAAGAGAGGAACACCTGTGTGGAGTTCCACCAACATACAGGCAAGGGACCAGCGGTCAATAGCGGTGTTGTAGTCAAGCTCTAAAATAACTTCTACACTGCGATAGAACCGCGATTGAACGTATTTATATAAATTAGCTGCTGGACAAGAATAACAGGCACTTCCAAAATCAATTAAAGATATGGAACTACGCTTTGGATGACGCAACACAACATTTTCAGGTTTAACGTCACAGTGAATAACAGGTGGATCATGATCTTCCAAATGTTTTAATATAAGCACCATTTGATATGCAAATTTTCTAGTTAAATTAAGACTTACACCATTGTAATTTGTACGGTGAATCAATTGAAAAAGATTCATACTTAACATTTCAAACACCAATACAAGGTGATCTTTCCATAAAAAAACTTTTCTAAGACTCACAACAAGTCTATTAAGAGAAGGATATTTACTAAGCTCCTCCAAAATACTAACCTCCATAAGTCCTTGATCGTAAAAATATTCACCATGACGAATTACTTTTACCGCCACTTGTTCCTGATGCTTTTCATCAAAGCAATGAAGAACAGTACCGAAACTTCCACGACCAAGTATACCGAGCACTGTATATCGCTCATTAATTACCTCACCTGTAAAGGCAATATAATGGCCATTTCTATCATCAAACCCATCATTATACTTCTGTCCAGATTCTCGACACCGGCGCTCCTCACTATATTTCTTGTTAATCAGTTTATAAAGACGTACAATTTTTTCCGAGAGAGCTACACATGGTCGAAGCAACGAATTACTATCAGCAGAACGAGAAGACTCCATAATTGCCTGCGATGAACTACACGGCTCACTCTCATTATTCACAACAGCCAACTTTAAAGAAGATTGTAATTGTAATTGTTGTTGTGTTGGTGGTGTTGATGATGGTGGTGGCGGTGGTGGAGGGGAATTCTGAGATACGGCATGTGTACTCGGCATCCCTTTTTTGTTTTTATTTTATTTTTTATTTTTATTTTATTTTTACTTTTCTTTCTTCTTCTTTCTCTATTTCTTCTTTTTTTTTTTTTT